CCTTCAACAAGTCTAAAAAGTCTTAACATACCTTAGATGCCGAGCTTGTGCCACGAATCTTTTAAGATTTTTCCTTTCCTTTTCGCAAGGTTTCGGAACGTTCCCAATCTACCAATTTTTCAATATTCGTAAGTAAGCAATTTTTTTGTAGACATTCAAATTATTATATGTCTATCATAGACGCTAAAACTCACACATATTTTCAACAAACTCCAAATCTTGATATATATTGGTATGCCAATTTTTTTTCACACTTGCTAAATTTCAAGCCAAGAACTTAACTCTAACCTCTTCAAATGGACTAAAACTCAATGTTAGATCATATAAAATAACACCTAATAATTAATTACCAGTCCCAATATATTAAAAACTAGCATTTTAATATATGAATACACGTGAACAAAATTTCCACCCATTGGCAGAAGTGGAACGCCCCTCCCCTTTTCCCGTTTTTTTGTGCTATTTGTTCTGCATGCCAATTAAAGCATTCCCCCATTGTTGGTACCTTTAAATTCTGAGGTGTGAGTATACCCACCCGACCTGAGCATAACTCCAAGAAGACAACCTCTGGTTTCAAGAAATTGATCACTGCCTTAACTTCTTGGCAGGATTCCGAAGAAACGTGAGCAGTGCTAACAACATACACATCGCGAATGCCTCCATTGGCAGAAGATTGGTTTTTTTTTCCACATCTCCACCAATTCTCCCATTATCAATATAGCATAGAATAATAATACAATCCCAAACACTCCGACAATATATTACTATATATAGAATTGAAAAGAACGAATATCTCATATCTTTACCTGAACAATGGCTGTGATTTTCTCCCTCTCGCTGGTAGCCTGTGATAAGGTTTCGCCTCCTTACTTTTCGTTTTTTCTTTTCTTCTAAATAAGAAATTATTAATCGTGAAACTCCACTAATCTATTATCTAATTATTTATTTAATAAAAGTTTCATCAATTAGGTACTCATAGTTATCTAAAAGCTTAAAAATAACCCTTTAAATTTTCAAAAGGAGCCAAACTAGTCCTACTTCTCAAAACGACCTAGCGGGTAGTTACAATAACAATATAGGAATACAATAAAATTTCTAATTATAAACAATAAAATAAATTAATAGGGTAAATATGTAATTTGTCACTTTAATACATGTATAAATAATACCCGCATAACTTATTTTACTTTCTACCTTACATAACTTTATACATAGATTCCCTCATAAGTTATGTTGATATAAATTATATAAAACTACAAAAATGCAACCAAACATGATATAAGTTATGTTGACTTTTCTACCTAAACAAGAATTTCTACTAAATATTGCATAACTTAATACATTATTTTATACATGAACAAGAGACAAGTTATACCATAACCAAACAGTGTTGAAAAATCACTCAAAATGTGATAATGTTAAATGCCCAAACAAGTAGGTACATAGCTACCACAATGGATCATATTATCTTAGAAATATACATACAGAATTCATGAATAAACTCAAATAGACAATTCACTTGCGTATTTGATTTTTGTTAAACACATTAGAATTGAAGTTTTGATTATTTTTGAAACACAAGTGGGAGAAGGAGATAATGTTGACGGTAATATATATGCGGACCTACAATGACACGTAGCAGATGAAACGTGTAGATAAAGAGTAGCTTTAACGTGTGGTCATCAACTTGGTTTCCCTTTGATCTTTCAAAAATCAAATTCCTTCCAACTCCTTAGATATTTTCTTTTTGTAGTAGACTAGATCCGAGAAAATTTCAAGTCACACAATCCAAATCCCTAAAAATTTGGATATTTATATCTCTTTCCTTGCATATATATAAAATTCATATAGATCTTTGTAAAACAAAACAAAAAGTGCACCATTTTTCTTTTTTATTTTTATTAAAATAATAAATGGACATGGTGGCGAAGGTACACGTGTCAACGCACCACCTACTACCGAGCAGTAATGTTTTCCGGCCTTCGATTGTGAAGGTTCATGGACGACGTAGAGTTTTTGTACAACCTTGCAGGAGCTTTAAGTCTGATGATGCTGAGTATGTGAAGGTGAACAAGTTGGTTGGAGCTATTAGGTCTGCTGTATGGAGTTGTTCAAAGCCAAGTTTGAGAACTGAAAATAAGCTTAGAGAAGCTATGGAGATGTTGGAAGAGAGATTATTCTGGGTACATATGTTTCTTACACATCTTTAACATCAATTGAGAATGGGAAAAAGTTAAATTTGTATTCCAATCTTGCAGTTGGCTTTATATGTTGGAAGATATATTATAACAATGATGAGCACAGGTGTTGTCATGTTCGTTGGGTTTCAGTTGTCAGGTTAGCAAATTCATTTATCATCTTTTGAAAGTTTTTAAGGCATGGATTGATTGGTAACAACTAATTCTAATTGTTACAGGTGGAGATAGCCAGATGAATGAATTGATATGGTACAGCTGGCTTGGAGGAATTATTATCGGCACTATGATAGGATCCAATTTAGTTTTGGATGATGTTGCTCGAGCTGGCCCCCGTAATGTCCTTATAACTGGAAGGTATAATACTTTACTCATACCTTCATTGTTTGTAATTACCATTTTAATTATTTTTTGGTGCAGTACAAGGGGACTAGGGAAAGCTCTTGCCCGCGAATTCTTACTTTCTGGAGATCGGGTCATTGTTACCTCCCGCAGGTAATTAATTGATTATTTGCATCCACTTATTTTGTTTAGCATCTCTTGTAAATACATCATTCCTTAACACAGCCCGGCATCTGTCCGTTTGACTATCGAGGAGCTTGAGGAAAATCTGAAGGAAGCTGTCAATGCTGCCACCGGCTCTGCTAGACTAAAGTTGGCACATGCAAAACTGGTTGGTATGGCTTGTGACGTCTCTGAACCTGTTGATGTTAAAGAACTGGGCAAGTTTGCTGCAGATGAACTTGGTTATATTGACATTTGGGTGAGTAATTTTCTTTTTCTTCATAGCAAAAGACCACCACAACAACAATATACCCCGTCAAATCCTACAAAGTGGGGTTTGGGAGGGTAGAGTGAGTGTACACAGACTTGGACTTTACCACTACCTCGAGGAGGTAGAGAGACTGTCTCGAGAAGACCCTAGACTCAAGAGCATTAAACCCAAGTAAAAGGAGAGAAAATATTGGAAGTGTCAAGAGAAAAACAATAACAGTAGGATAATCAAAATACAATACACAACATATGACAAGAACTACAGGGTTGTGAGTAGAAAATACAGTCATCCACATCCAGAGGACTTGTGAGGAAAAACAGCCTCTTTCCTGGTTTGTTGTTCTGTTTTCATGCTTCTAAAGGTTGTCTTTTATATAGGTAAACAATGCTGGGACAAACAAAGGCTTTCGACCCTTGCTGGAGTTCACCGACAATGATATTCAAGAGGTATCCATGTTGTTGACAGTTCTCATATGTTTATGTTGATACTCTACAACTTCTTCCATTTCTAAACTCTTGCAAAATAATTGCTTTCAAGGCTGCATATATAATAGAAGATGGATCGGGGGTGGGTCGGTATTAGGGTGGGGTATATTAAATTGTCAAGTAAGAGCTGCTTTTGTTGTTTTCCCCCCTCTCTTGTGGAAGGGTGGGTGGTGTATGCACTGTGGGTTTTCTAACTGTTCAGTTGCAGAACTTTGTTAACAAATTATTTTCCCCGTCCCCCCAACACCTATATGTAGTTTGTATACTTTATATACCAGGTCACTCATTTTAACTTTCCGTTTTCCTGGAATTATCCATCAATATGTACTAATGCCTTCTTTTAACTACTACTTGAAAATTTCCCCGTTTCGTCATGCATAGCAAGGTGTTCATGCTTGTTGACCTTTTCAAGTTAACACTCCATGTGCATATAATAATCAACTATCTGCTGTGTGTACTTGCATGATGGGTAAGCTAATATTCTAGTAAGTATTTCTGGTCTGTTGCTTACCAAATTTTTTTATACAGATTGTCTCAACAAACCTGATTGGTTCTATACTATGCACTAAAGAAGCCATCCAAATCATGAAAACCCAAAGCGAAGGTGGACATGTCTTTAATATGGATGGTGCAGGTTCTGGAGGATCTAGCACCCCTCTAACAGCTGTGTAAGTTGATTGTTGTGGTTGTAACTTGGAATGCTAGGTTATCTATTGTAAATAGCAGATCTTTACCATTTATTCATCTAATACTTTTCTAATGGATATTGATTTCGGTGTTATCATCTTTACTGTTCTGCAGCTATGGGTCTACAAAATGTGGTCTCAGGCAGCTTCAATCATCCCTACTGAAGGAGTGCAAGCGGTCAAAAGTTGGAGTGCATACGGCGTCTCCAGGCATGGTCCTAACCGACCTACTTCTGAGGTATGTGAAGAGGATCATCGGATCTTTGCACTTAAATGTCTTTTGCGTTGCTTTCATGGACAATGTATTGCTGTAGAAGGATAACTCTGTCCGGTTTGGTATTATTTCTGGTAGTGCTACCAAGGAGGACTAGTTATCCACACCATTCAGCGGTACATAAAGACTACAGTAATGTTAGAACAGAGATTCTTACCTCTTATATAATTCTCTTTTCTGGTGTGCAAGGAAGGATGAAAATTTCAACTTCTTTTTTTGTTATAGTAATCAATTGTGATCACTTCTTCTAATCCTTCCATAATGGTAAAACTGGAGCCTAATTTAGTGATCTCCCTTTTATACTCGATCTCCAATGCCTACAATTACATATAATGGGTGGTTTTGGCTGAATTTGAGTGGGTCAAAATGGCTTGAGTTAATAAATGGGTGGGTTATTGACCCACCCAAAATGTTACTTGCTATGGATTGGACTGAAATGGGTCAAAATGCGGGTATCCAACCAATCCAATTCTTATTAAGTTTTAATGCTTTGTTTGTTCTTTAAAATTGTTTCTTTTTTTGGACTTTATAAAACTAGTTTTCCTTTATTACGACTATACATAACATATCAAATTTAGAAAGAGTCTTTTTGAAAATATGTTGACAAGATTGCTCATGAGTCAATTTATGCTACATATCAATGCAATAGAAATTGGGCTGAAATTGGTTGGTTGTGCTAATAAATGGTCGGGTCAATAGCCCATTGAAACATGGGCAGGTTATGTTTTCTTCGGCTAATTTTGCCGCATGGAGAAGGTTAATAATGATACTCATCTACATAATTAGGCTTTCTTTGTTTTAACTATTAAAACTGTTTAGAACTTTATACTTTTCTTTTGGGTTTTCATTCTTACCATATCAAATCATTTTATAGTTCAGTTTATTAATAATGAGACTCTCCTGCAGTGGATCAACTATCCAAAATAGGCAGATGTTTAACATCATTTGCGAACATCCAGAGACAGTTGCTAGAACACTAGTGCCAAGGATGCGGGTTGTAAAAGGAAGTGGAAGAGCCATCAATTATTTGACTCCACCAAGGATCTTAATTGCCTTAGTAACCGCATGGTTGAGACGGGGCCGATGGTTTGATGATCAGGTAACCTATTACATGTAATAGATGCATGTGGGGTTTTCTGTGTTGCCACAATCTAGTGCTTTATGATTTTTTCTGTCAATACGGTATAAGTTATACCGTATAACTAAGCTTGTGTACTAATTTCTCATGGAGTACATCGTGTTATGTTAGTCAGTATTTCACTATTGATAAAAGCAAGTAGTACTTTAGTAGGAAATAATTGGATAATTTTTACTGAAAACTCGTCTGCTAATATGTTCCAGTCTCGAGTGTTCATCCTTGTACAAGCTTCAGTTTCAAGTGTTATTAGTTTGTTGATTTGTTAATTAGTCTTATGGTTTTTAGTAAGTTGCTAATTATTTATACATGTTCAGGGAAGAGCACTGTATGCTGCAGAGGCAGATCGACTCCGTAACTGGGCTGAAAGCCGGACACGTTTTTCATTCACAGATGCGATGGAGATGTACACTGAGAATACTTGGGTGTCTGTGTTCTCACTCTCTGTAGTTTGTGCATTCATCATATTATCTAGCACAGGTAGTACATAAAAGTGGATTTTGATGGAAACCTCAATTGGTTTGGAAGATAGGAAGCACTGAATTATGACACAGCTAACTTATATCACTCCAGCTTTAAAATTGATGATAAGGAAAGCACATATCCAATTGGAAGTGCTGCATTGCTTTATTTATTGCATGCTTAAAAAAGAAATCATCGAGGCATGATGGTGTCGGTGAATGATATTGGATGTATAGGAATTTGGCTTTGTGAAATGTAAAAATCAAAGTATCAGGTATTCTTTTAGCAAAAATCAGTGTAATAATGAACCCCGACTCTTCCTGCTTGAGCATTTTTGCATTTTTCTTCTTATTATGTGAAAATGCTACTTTTGTTTTTGTTAACAAAGAGATTTCAGGATTATCTGCATATAGCCAGAAGTTGCATTTGGAATTATCTACGTGGAGACGAAATGTTCCTAGTTTTGATGGTTAAGCTATGTTCGAATTAGCTTTTAAGCTGAATTTGACACTTTGTTCTAATATGGGTTTCTTTTTAAAAGCTCAAACTCCTCGAGAAATTTCTTGTGCTTGACATTTTTCTTTTAGACTTGAGTTCAAAATTTAGGAAATGAATTTGATACACGCTTTGCCCGCCTGAGCTTTGCGTTAGTGGTTGATGTCTCGATGTCTTGTAGGAGGCACCCCGCAACAGACAGACAAATGCCACTAATGTGCTGAAACTCCTCGAGCATGTTAACAAGTCCCAAAACATTGTTTATAGTCTCTAATCGCTCAACAACATGAATGTTTGTGTTTCTACTGTTAGAATGTTAGATGGAGCCTGGAGGACCACAAAAATTGATTCTTGTAAGATCAATTCTGCATTAGATTAACCAAAAGGCGTTTTTCAACTCAATAGATTATAGCCTTGAAATTCAAAAAAAAATGACTATAATTGATCTGAAATTTGATAGGTTAATAAAAAAGGGCTTAGTAAAAATATCTTCCTTTTTTTCACATCGGGTCGATAGATGAATCTTTGATCATTTTTGGTGATAGGGGGGGCTATTCCCATGATTAAATAGTAGTCAATTCTTAACTTCATGTGTTGGTTTTAGACCTTCCTCCAAAATAAATAAATTAATACAAGTTATTATGTATTTAATCATCATTAATTTTAATAATTTGTATTTTTCATAAATTAAGTTAAATGTGATTGGATCAGTGCAACTACGATGATTTTCAATTGGCTTAAAGTAAAAGTAGATTATCTATCTCAGTTGGTTTTAATTGTATTATCCAAATTATTCGACATATTATGATCTATTTAAGTCGTTTATTTGGAAACTCACCTAGAAATTGAAATTGGTATTATGACGCACCCCAGAAATTTCATGACCCATACTAGAGCCTTATATTGTTGAGTAATGATGATTTTAGACCTAGACAAGTGTAAATAACTTGTTTGAGAAGTTTTGGGGCCATAGCGCTAGAGAAATGCCTTAACGTCCGGAAATTAGCCAAATTGAACTAGTTAACGTCCCTATGTTTGGTGAAGGTTTCGGAGGGTCATATGACTCAAAACTTGTAAAAAGACTTTATATAAGTAAAATGTAGTATAGAGGGTTAAAATGTACAATCACGACACCCCAAGGTCCGCCGGAAGAGTCCTTGGGAGACCCGAACATGGGCCAGCAGGCTGCCAAAGCAATCTGCACACAGGCAGGATTTTGGTGGCTGTTGTGCGACGCACATCCATCACGCAGGGATTTGACTAGGCCTCACGACGCGGGGCCTACACGAGGCTCACTGCCTCAATCCTGATTTCAAAAATAAAATATGAAATTGATCCCGCGACGCACAACCACTTCCAAGATTCGTAAAAAGTCATATTTTAAGCATTTTGACTTCACAAAAAGACTCATTTGAGTGAGGGGTCTTTTGCTAATTTAATGGGTGAATATATACGGTCTTAGGGTCAATTTTAACACCCAAATCAAGTCTCAAAAGTTGAAATAAAAAATCACTCTCATCTTTCCTAGATTCTCTCTTCATCCAAACCTCCATTGAAGACCAATAGAGCTCCAAGAAGAAGATCAAACCTTCAAGTTTCCAACCCAATTTCGTGGCTTTATCATCTCTAAGGTATGATTTCTTTTACTCTTGGGATTCTTTTCCCCAAGAGGTCCCCCCAAAAGATGATTTCTAAATCCCCAAAACAAGGTTTTTCTTCTCACATGGTCTTCTTTAAAAAATAAAATTATGAATCAATTGTGATGAATTATGATGAATTAATGTTGTTTAGGTACATATTGATGGTCAATTGATCACTTCCTATGAAATTACCCTAGACCCATGTCTTTACCCCAATTTCATGAAAACCTTAAATTTATATAGTGAATTGTGAAGATTATGAATATGTAGATTGACTATGTTGTTTATGTAATTGCTTCTTGAATTTACCTTGTTCATGTAATTGGTTATGTATTCTTGGTAATGGAAGTATGAAGGTTCTTGGAAGGGACAATGAGGTATGTTGATTGGTTCTTCTTAGATTTAATTGTGAATTATAAGTTACTTAGATAGTAATGCTCCTATGTCTAATGCGTATGTGATTTATAAAGTGAAAGGGTAGTTCTGACTTACGAATACCCATGAGCTATTATGATAAGATGTTCACATAGGGGTCTAGAGGAAACTAATGTGATCTTGTATAATGAGTATGATGATTACTAAAGGGAATAAATGCTTAGCACAGAAAGGGCATGTAAGTGAGAGGAATAAACACTTAGCACCGAAAGGGCATGTAAGTGAGATGGGGGTCCCACATTTAGCAAGTTCAGCCTCCCACATGGGTTTCTTCACGTTTAGCAAGTTTGGATTCTCACGATATGTGTTGTCTCATGAGATGGAAACCTCCATGTCTAGCAATTCAAGATTTCTAGTAACAATCTCCTTGACCCTTAACTATGTGCGCACATAGGACTCTAGCTCAGTGGATGCACCTAGATAGTTATGTACGGATGATTACACCTTAGGCAAGTGTTGCTCACGTGGTCTCATGTTAGTTAATGCACTTCTTTCCCTAATGTAAAAGTAAATGAACAACTTACGTATGTGAACTCTTATTAGTGTTGTTTTAAAGGTTACCACATGGTGTGAGGGAGAGTATAAGACTTCTCTTACATATTGCACATGTGAGATCCTAAGATATGGTCCTAGTGGTGTTCTTTTATGAATATGATTATGGTTATGTTGATAAGCTATGAGTAAATACTGATGTATGAAGCATGTTATGTAAATATGTTGTAAGTATGAAGTGAGTTGCTTAATGTGACACTTAGCTTTGGATAGGGTTATGGGGCTTTATTCTTAGCATTGCACGAGTGTTGCTTGAGTTGCTTACATGTTGGGTTGACTTATGATGTTCCATACATATGTATATTGAGCTAGATATTTTACATGGTTTTGATTAAATTGTTTCTTTTCTCATGCATTAATGATTTTTATGTATGGGGACCATACTTAGAACATATGTTTTGTACTAACTCGTATTTCTCCCCTTTTTCCAAATATTTTAGTTCGCTCCATTGAGGACATTCGTGGTCATTGAAGAAGAAGACTTGGCTCTTTCCTAAGTAAATTTGTGAGTCCTCATGAGTTCTGAGGATAGAACCACTCATCAAACCTTATTAGTTTTGTTTATGTTATGAGACATTTATTCCATTCTCATGTTGAGACTTCATTGTAGCCTATATGGGCATATTGTAATAGACTAAGGGCTATGCCCAAACTATTGTGATTCATTCTTTAGATGGTTAATGCGAGACAAAGATTTACACTAAATCCTTATGTATTATTATGTTATATAAGCGAGAAGTCTAAATAAGCTTCCTATGTGAGAGGTCTATGTATAACTCAATATATATATATATATATATATATATATATATATATATATATATATATATATATACATATATACACACACATATATATATATATGTATGTATGTATGTATATATATACACACATATATATATATACATATATATACATATATATATTAAGTTTTAAATTTATTCGCGTTTTTGACCTATGATATGTGATGACGAATGATAAGTTGTCTTAGTCCTCTTAGAGGACGACGACACCGGTTACGCCTAAGGGATACTTTGGGTCGTAACATATTATTACTAAGGTAACAATCACCAACCTAGTTATTACACTATCCTCTTTGTTTGCAACAATATAATTATCCTGTAATTACATTTGGATGAGTCCGGAGCTTAAAGAGCAAAAAAAAATTGACAAAAATATAAAGGGCATATAAAATATCGCTACTGATATGGTGATTTTGTTTTTACGCTGTTATTATGTTAAAGATCAAAAACGCTCACCTATCAGCGTCTTTTTTAACTAAAAAAATCTTCAGTGCCCGTGTAGCGGTTCTGCAATTTTTTTAAAAAAATTAAAATCGCTACCTTGGCAGCGATATTTGTTAAGTTTCTTTTTTAAAAAATAATGTCATTACTGTTGCAACATTCTTATAGTTTGTGGAAATTTTTTTTGAAAATCGTTATCTTGACAGCGATTTTAGCGAATAATTTTTTTTGAAAAAAATTCTGGTGGATAATTTATATTTTTTTAAAAAAAACTTGTTTTTTTAAAAATTTCTATCAACTAGTTAATAGGTAATAATTCTGTAGGATTTCGTAAATTCTTTTTTTTAATCGCTGCCAAGTTAAGGAATTTTTTTTTTTAAAAAAAAGAAGAAAATCACTGCCAAAGCAGTAAAATTTCTCTATATTTTTTAAGTGTCATTTCTGATGCACCAATTTCATAGAAAAAAATTGTCTTATATATTCATGAGCATTATTTGAATTGGAGTGTGCTGGATCACAATATGGGAGAGTCTAACCATGCTTTCATGCACTTGAGTTCTTTTTTATCGGACCAAACTGATAGATAAATAATGTGATGTTTCTTATTTTTTAAATTTAACTTTTTTTAATATGCAATATTTTATATTATTATATATTGATGCAGTGAATTATTGTACACAAATTGTGAATAATAATTTCAAGAGTGATAAACGAGTTGGTGAGTCGCGTAGTGATAAACCTTTAGAGCATGAATTAACAGACAAGGCTGAAATGTATGAGGATGATGATGATGTAGATAATTCACCTAGTGCACTTGTTGAAGATCAAAGTGGTTAATCATCATTCTACTGTGATTCCATACTTAGATCACACTAAAGAAAGTAAAAAAAAAATTTATGTATACAAGCAATGTTGGTTCTATCCGAGTGATACTTTGAAATCCAAACAATCCTAAATATATTAAGTGAGGTTCGATTGTTGCAAATTAAATATTTATTTATTTATTTATATTATATTGATTAATCTAATTTGTATATGCAAC